CGTCATCGATGACTGCGCTGTAACTTCTTATCCGTCGAATTAACTGTTAATTGATGTAGGTTTGGGGTTGATAATTAGTCCATTCACACAGATTCGATTTTTCTCTCTATATTTCTCCGCCTCGTACAACACGTCTTAACACACAGGATACACTGACCATAGTCAATTAACACGTGGTCGACTTCTAAGACAAAAGAGCGTGGTTAGAAGTCGTACCAACTTAGCTTGTAGTAACTAGCGATCATGTCAACTTAACTTTTCTCAACATTAACCTTGGACAACTGATTCACAAAGGACAGCAGTGATTAAAAACGCGACGAACGATCAACAACATCAAGGGTTGTACTTTTCCGAATGATAAGAAGTGTTTGAATTGTCTGCGACTGCTGAGACGAGATTTACGAATGGATACGACGGATGATTGTGCGATACGGTCCGACTACGACGTGATGTACGACTGAACGTTATGAATGGTTAGCGATACACGCCTCTGCAAACGCGTGTCGACGTTGCTTGCAATTGAATGACTTACACGAGACTCTTCACTGATCGTTCACTAACTAAAGCGATACTTCGTTCTACGAATACTTGGAGATGACGAGTCAAGAAATCCAGATGGGACTGCTCTTTCCAAATGCTTAGAGATTAAAACGGTTCTTCACTGCATCTCTGGTGGAGAGTATTGTACCGTAAAAGGGAGGTTGTGTGAAATTATTCTCTCTGAAGGCTGAGAGAATAAACTACTCCTTCTCCATGTCTGATGTTGAAGATGTTAACGATTCAAAACTAGGAACGAGATTCAACTAATCGTTTCGAATGATTGATCGAGACTGAATCTATGATTGATAAATACACATGATTGACAAAATACATACGCTGAGTAATTTTCATCAAATGCAAAAAAATACCCAATCAGTCGTTCGCTGCACTCCCATGCGCTCGAAGTGCGGAAAACTCTTGGCGGGAAGTGCGTGAACGATACCTGGGACTGCCTGAAGCTTCGATGTTAATTAGGAAAGGATACTACTTATCATGTAAAATCATGTAAAATATTTTTATCCTTGTTAGCTTCACGCCAGGGAAAAGAGGAGTAATGAAGGAATTGATAAAAGTTAGATAATTCTAAAATTATTTAATCTTATAATAGCATTAAAAACAAATAACAGGATGTTAGAAAATCAAAGATCTAGTAAATTGCAAACAGTTGATTTTTAAGAACACAGATTTCTTATTCATACTTTCCGGAATAATTATATTATTTTACTAATATATTATTTTCTCTCATTTTTAAAAATTACTTTCTATAAAATGTATACAAATTTAATTAAAATACATATATTACCTAAACATCATTGGTCTGAAAAGAAAATTCGTATTTAGAGGTCACAATCGATACTGCAAAATTTATAACATTTGTTTCTATAACCCTTAAGTGGATACCATAGCGATTAATAAGTTAAAATGCTTATTTATAAATTTCAATTTTTTGAATTATGTTACGATTAACGTCACGAAACTGGCAATGATCGGTACACCATACATTTTTCTCATTTCTGAATTATGAAAGCGATAAAACATTTTTGATTCTATAACTTAAATTTAAAGCATTTCAGTCAGACGGATATAGCTGTGTCGTGCAATTTAAATTTAAAATTGTATCCTACAGTATATGTGGTGAATAACTCCTTTCAGTTTCCCTCGAAACTATGACCGTTTTCCTATCGTGATGTTTTCTATCGGAAATGAATTGCACGATTCGTGGAATTTTAAAAAAAGGAAAACGAAATAGGGAGGTGAAAAAAAGGTAGCGGAGAAAACGTTCAATTTTATTCCGACAATAGAATCAGCACGCATTCACATCAGTCGCGACTAGCGTGCGCCTCGAAAGGGGGTTGCATGTGGAATCGAGTTTTTACATCAACCTGTAATTTGCATTTTTGCTTTTCCGTTTTTAATCGCGGAAACATGATCCCAAGCATAGAAATACTATTGACAGGAGGTTGACAAAATGATCACCATGATGATGATTAGACCATGTTCTCAGTCCATCTGTTTTCCACCTGTTTCTTTATTATCATTAACGAATCGTGATCGTGTTACCGTGAAATTGCGATATTTCTCTTCTCCGAATTTATTTTCAGCGCTTTTTTGTTTTACTTGTTACAGAGATATATGCCGGCACAAGGTAAATTTAATATTTCATTTTAAGCGGTTAGTCGTTGAAGTTTACATAGATTTATTGAATGTTGGATATTAACGTTATTAAAAGCAGTTAAAAATGTGCAATAGTTACAAGCTCATTTACATTTATCAATAAAAAACGATAAAAAATGATAAAAAAATATATTATATATATAATAATAGGTAAATTGAAAATCATTTTTATAAAATTACGTCGGAGATGAAAGGACATCGGGGCCTTTCTTTTGGAATTTTGGGAAGATCCCCAATACTTTAGTGTAGACTATTTTATTATAGCTGTACTTAAATAATAAAACTTAGAAATAGTTGTTATGATTCAATCCGATTATGTTTGCCCGAGATTTGCGACGGTGCGTTTGGGCTCGAGATGCACAACTGATCGCCGAACGTAGCCACGGTCACGGGATGAACGTTTTTTACCTGACAGAGAAGTGCCAATATTGTGGGACACACGTTGTATTAACAATCAAATCCCGGGCAGGAGCAATGTCAGCTCTACGCGGGTCTGCCTAGCGACGGTGCTTGGAATTTTGTTGGTATCCCCGGCCAATATGCAAAGAAGAAACGCGATCGTAAGGAGAGGAAAATTTCCATCAGTCTTTTATTCCTGCGATCACCTTGGGGAGTTTCCACATCGCCTTTACGCGCAGTATGATACCGAGCGTCACAGCAAACGTTACTTTGTGCTTCAAAATATATTCTACGTTTAACAAAGAGTTACCCCGTTGACCATGGATTAGTTATTGAACCTAAGAACATTGTCACTAACATCTCGAATGTTTAATCACCACGGTTATTTGTCAAACTTTGTAAAAATCAATATTTATACCAGTAAATATAATCTCTGTTGTACAACAACGATGGCTAGTTCGAGTGAAGATTCGTTACACGCCCCTAAACCTAACGTTTTGGAATTTTGGATAATCCCGCAACATTGTAATCTAGATTTTATCATAGCTGTAACATTGTAATCTAGATTTTATCATAGCTATAATTAAGCAATTGTTGTCATTCAATCTGATCGTAATTGTTCGAGATTTGTGATAGCGAGATTGGGCTCGAGGCGACAACTGGTCGCGGAACGTAGCCACGGTCACGGGATGGACGTTCTGCCTGAGGGAGGTGTGGAGTGGTTGTATGGTTCTTCCTAGGAATGTGGTTGTGGCGGCATACGGCCTCAAGAACGGGCCTAGCCACATAGGATTGTACTTTGGAGGTGTCGATATAATGGGGCACACGTTGCATTAACAATCAAACTCCAGACAGAAACTGCCTAGCAACAGCGTTTGGAACTTTCTCGATGCTTCCAAAAAGTATACAACAAACTCTTGGCAGAAACTGCCTAGCAACGGCGATTGGAACCTTCTCGATGCTTCCACCGAGTTGTGCCTAAAATTATTCTACGCATAGTAAAGAGTTATCCCGTTGATCGAAGATTCGTTTGAACCCAAGAACATTGTTAATAGCGTTCATTAAACTCATTATTCGTTAAACTTATTATTCGTAAAAGTTATTATTCGTTAATCTTATTATTCGTTAAACTTATTATTCGTTATACTGTGTAAAAGTCTTGTATATACGTGTACATATAATCTCTGCTTCGTAAAACGATGGCTAATCCAAACGAAGAATTGTTACGTGCCCTAAATTCTAATGTCAACCCGACATATATATGTAAAATATACATGTAAGTTATATATGTAATATATATATGTAAATTCTATAGAATTCAAACTATCCGTCAACCGACATTTTTACTTTTGTTTTATTTTACCGCCAGTCATTTGTTGAATAGAATAGATGACGAGAGAGGAATGGTAATTTAGGACTTAGAAAATCGATTTTCGATTTTCCAGGTAAAATTTGTACTAGATTTGTTATTAACTGTTATTATATTTAATTTAATTATTCCGAAAATAAACTCAATTTTCCAGAATCGATCGTCTGATTTACCCTAAGCATTTACGTTATTACAAATCGATTTTCTCTGCGTCATGCCGTTGAAGGTTATCCTCCGTATCGTCATCAGCGAAAACTCAAAACGCGAAAGAATAGAATGAGTAGAATCTATAAGAAAACCAGAAGATCAAGTGAGTTATGTTTTTCCGCTGGAATATCAACCAAGAAGTTATCATCCTCGATTATTCAGTTCATCGATTGTTAAGTCTAACCAAGGTAGGTCAATACAAAGATATCACACTCACTATGGATGATGAGACTGCTGCGTCGTAAATCGATACGGACTTGAATTTTGTATTTCAAAATACTTAGATGAATCAGAAATCGTCTCTAAAATGAAGGCAAAGACTGAAAGTAAGTCTAGTTTTCATATGGAAAGACTTTTGGAAATTCTTCAAAAACGAGATAGTCATGAAAGAGAAGGGACGAACTTCACTTTAAAGCAATTTGATGGACTTCATTTCACAAAGTTTTCAGCCATAAAGGTTGATCTTCATCACGATACGCCTATAATTTCAAATATATTTCGGGGGCTCGTTCGTTGATTATGCTATGAAAAAAGAACGCTTACTATTGGAAGTAGGGAGGAAGACTATTGAAAACACAAGAATTAATTTGATTGTTATCGGATTACCTATTCACATTCAAGATGGAATCGATAAAGAAATGATACACTCAACAGATGATTAGACCAGAATTTTGAGACAGTATGAAGGTACTTATCACAAAAAAAAAAAAAATTCAGTAACGCAGTTCACATGAAAGGAAAAGAACTGCAGGAGATGAGGGTATGTCCTGACAGACATACAAATCCATCATTCAGGAAACAACCTTGCGGTATTTGCGAATCACTGAATTTTCCTGGCCGATTCCATCTGACAGTACTGTGCAGATACATAAACAAGAATGCTCAGAAGAATTTCAAACAGGTAAATTCATTTGACATACTCGCATCCGAAAACGAGAAGTCAATAAGACTAAATGAGAATGATAAAAGCTAAAAGGCCCGGAGAAGTATGAACTACTGATAAAACTCCGAGTTAGAATCAATGATCAGAAAGATGTTGAAGGTGTTTATGACACTGGAGCCAACGCAAGTTTTATTAATCAAAAGATTATTGACTAAATAAAAGCAGATCTAACCGAACGTAAGAGTGTTTTCAAAACTATCAGTGGCAACGACTGCACGAGGAGAAACTTCGAATGAAGATAAATAAAATAGAAGAAATAATGGATGTTTTGTGGTATGCAACGATAATTTCACATACGATCTTATCCTAGGGTTGGATGCCATAAAACAGTTCAAATTAATACAAGATGAGCATTTGAGAATTGCTCAAATAGTTTAAAGAAATTGTTATAAAAAAGTAGATCACAAAGAAGAAGAAATAGTAGAAGAAGAAATAAAAGAAAAAGAAGAGATAATATTCGGGAAGAAAGAAGAAAGAAAGAATGATCAGACGAGAAGAGAGATAAACGTCACTGAGTACATGGAGAATGACCAATTTGTTGGCAACCTTGAACATTTAAACAGTCCAGAGAAAAACGAAGTGCTTCATCTTATAGAGAAATACAGAGAGGTATTCACCAAACACAAATTTGACGCGGGAACTGTGAAATTCCAAGAGGCTTCTGTCAAATTAATCGAAAATAAAAATGTATAAAAAAAACCATACAGGTGTTCGATTCCGGATCAGGAAGAAATAGAATTCCAAATTACAAAATTATAGGAACACAATCTCATAGAGGAATCGAGTTCGCCGTTTGCAGCGGCTGTAGCATTAGCTTTCAAAAGAAAATCGAATCGACGGAATAGACTCTGTATCGATTTCCGTGAGGTAAACAAAATTGTGGTTCCTGAATCACAACCGTTTGCAAGAATAGAAGATATTATAGTTAAAGCAGGAAATTGCCATTTCTTTTCAACGTTTGATACTAATTCAGCGTTCTGGTCAATTCTAATAAAAAGAGAGAACCGCGAGAAGACAGCTTTCATAACACAAAGTGGTCATTGGCAATGGACATGCTTACCTTTCGGATTAAAAATTTCTCCCGCTATTTTTCAACGAATGCTTGCAAATATTCTTAGAAGGAACGGACTGAAAGGATTTTGCATAAACTACATCGGTGACATCTCAGTATTTTTCTGAAACATTCGACCAACATATCAGGTATATAGAGCTGTGCATGAGGGCTATTAACCCCTTAACCTACAACTACGGGCATAGCCCGTAGTACGATGATCGGGCTAAATATAATATACAGGGTGGTTGGTAACTGGTGGTACAAGTGGAAAGGGGGAGATTCTACGCGAAAAAAGAAGTTGAAAATATAGAATAAAAATTTTTCGTTTGAGGCTTTGTTTTCGAGAAAATCGACTTTGAATTTTCGCTCGGTACGCCTGCACTTTATCACGTCTCGTTACAACGGATCTTTTTAGCCTGCGGATCTGGTCCGACGTATTAAGTAATTTAGTAATTAGGGGGATTTAGCAATTAAGTTAGAAAAATTTACCAAATGTCCTGGACAAATTGTACAAATTAAATAATAAAAAAAAAATTACACGATTTCTATGTTATTTCTTTATTGCACTGCACGAGCATTGTTTATATACTATGTTTTATATATTGATGTCTTAGTCTATAATTTAAACTAATTTGTTTTGTAGACTAATTAACATTAACAATAATTACAATTAATCAGTCTTTAAATGTTGGCAACATCTGGTAAAGTAATTTGTGTGGACGAGAACGAGTGAACGATAAAATTATATATTCAATCAATATTTTATTAGGTTGATAATTCTTCTATTTCGTATAATAAAATCAATTTATTGTTATTAATTATTATTTTAACATTAACAATTATTAATTTAATATTTATGATAATAACTAATTTGTTATTATTTTACGCAAGCGTCATCTCGCGCTGGCCGGATTGGATAGATTGGAAATCCAATATATTGATGATATTCATTTTTAATTGAATTATAACAGACATTTCTTACAGTGTTGCATATGCAAGCAGTTGTACACGGGGCTTTAAACTGGGCCAACCTTCCTGTACACTAGATGTCCCACCAACTTTGATATTTTCGTTACTTCAAACGATACGCGAAAATGTTTCGAATGAGAGTTATAGGATTTAAAAGAATATATAATATGGTAATAGCGATTTCTGCGTAGAAAAGATACGAAAGTCACTTTTGTTTCTTTAAATGGATTTATGTATTTTTTAATACATTAGTCGATCCATCTCGGCATTATTTACAAAAAAGTATTAACCTATTTATAGTAAACTATTAATAAACTATTAATTAAGCAGATATTTTAACTTTAAGTTGTCCTCTTCCTCGTCTTTAATACGTTAAATGTAATAAAGTAAAGGCGAAACATCTGTTAAATTAATAATTTTTCGACATAAACATATTAATACTTTTTTGTTGGAGAATATCAAAATGAATCGACTAATGTATTGAGAAACATATGATTCCATTTAAAAAACGAAAATAGCATTTCAATCTCTTCTATGTATCCACAAACAAGAAACTGTTATTACCATATTATGTATTCTTTTAAATTCTATAACCTTTATTCGAAATAGTATTATTTGAAATAATGAAGATATTTCAGGTGGACGAAATTGATGAAATAGCCTGTATATTCTATTGTAGAAACAAAGGATAGATACTATGGGGAAAGGTTAGTAGGTTACTAATCAGATTGTTCTGATTTATAATCTGATTGAAAATAGCTTCGAACTTATCCGGAAATTGATTAAGTGTATATTGGTTTGTGTTATTTTTGATTTACGTTTTCATCTTGCTTCGATGTAAATTTTGCAGCTTGAGCATTGCTTACGTTCTCTTACTTTTTGAGCGCGAAATGTGTTTTTTTTAATGATGTTTATTTAACCCAAGATACAATTTTAAATACATTTTGGTATTCACAATAAACTGTGAATTTTGGTAATGATGTGTTAGGCAAAGGTACCGATACGCGACGGTACGACGTAGTCATACTATATTATGTGTCGGCGCTTTACATTTTTTGTGTTTAATACAATTTTTGGGTTTAAGCCGCTGGGAAGCGGAGTTTTTACATGATTTTGTTCTTTTTTTATTTTTTCTGTCCTGAAAACTTGGTCGCAAAACAGGACGCTTCGGTAGTCTACTTTTTGGATGCTGTGTAACTTTGGGGAGGGGTGAGATGAA